TAATTGAAGGTAAAATACTGTATTGAAAATGTATTTAAAGTTAGTCGAATTCACGGGTACATGTACACATATACATATGTACTTTATAAATGAAATGATATACAATATGAAGTCCAGTAGCTGTCAAGTGTTGCTTTTCTTATCAGTGATGCCTATGGCCGGCCTTCTTAGACGGCAGGGCTGAATGGCTGGTGACTCACTACTATGTAAATGGAGTGCAGTTCACTTGCGAAGAGAAAAGTCAATGAAAGCAAAGCACAAAAGATATAATTAATCATACGTATTTATATACATACATATGTGCTAATTGTGCGTTGTATAAAATATATAAAGGGTTGGATAAGGTTTATAAAAAATTTTATTTTACATATGAATATTTTTATTTCCCCACTGATAACTGAAATATCCTGAAAAAATGCAAAATACAATTGATTACATTCAAACATATAGTAGTTAGTCAGCCTTACAATTTATAAGCTTACATAAGTAAATAAATAGCTAAGATAATGTTTTCATGCTTTCAATTAACATTCATTTTACTCTTTCTCTTTTAGAAATTATCGCTCAGCATCACGTCCAAAGACTGAAATTATTGGCACCACAAATCATCCGATCATTGATAAGTGCAAATCGCTCTACCAGCCAAGGTAAATGAAAGAAAAAATCGGAAAAATATAGTTTTATTAAAAAATAGAAATTAGAGCAATGAACGACATCCGAAAATCGGCACAAATGTCGTGAAATTCTTATTGATTTCAAAAGATAGCGAAAAGTAATGAATGTGCGACACTGCGTATGAGTCATGCAAATATGTTAAGATTAGAAAAAAACATTAATATAATTCAACCAATACTTTCATATACAAATTTTCTTACTAAGAATATCAAGAGACTATTTATTTAATTAAAGTACTCAGTAAATTAGTTAAGCTTCATTCAGAACTTGCCACTTACTTACTTATCATTAATAAATATCTATTTTTTCTACATAGAGATGAACATGAAGAGGAAGCTGAGGCTGTATTGCGCGATAAGAGCTCGCAGCATATCAAACCCATTCTGGATGAACTTATAAAAACAGAGGAGACTTATGTGGAGAATTTGCGCATTGGTCTGGAGAATTATGGAAATATATTTGCACGAAAAGACCTGCCCATTGGATTGCGTGGCAAAAAATATGTGCTGCTTGGTAATATTGGTCAGATCTACGAATTCCATTTGGAGGAATTTCTACCAATGTTGCATGCGAACAGAAGAGACTTGAAGCGAATATTTGACGAATTTCAGCTCTACATTGATGTAAGTCTTGAAGCGATTGAAAATAAAAGAGACAAAGCAAGTAAAAAAAAAATTGTACAAGCTTCTGTGAATTTTATAGCATTATATATATCCTGATGATCTTCGCTTTCCGATAATACAAAAATTTCGGAAATCGGTCTAGAAATGTAGGAGTTATTTGACATTTTAGGCTTGTGGGAGCGGTCTCGATGCCTTAAACCGCCCCTGCCACGCCCAGTTAAGGATCTGATAGGTCCAAACCACCTACTAACTCACCGCCATGCTCTGCCCTCTCCGCTGATACCAAAAATTCCGAAATCCGTTCAGAAATGTAGGAGTTATAGGACATTTTATGCCCGGCGGCACCCGTTCTGCTCGTTTATGGGCGCCTGGTGCCTCAGATAGAATTTACCATGGGGAAAACGAAATTCGGATGCCATCCTGAATGCAGGGTGACTCGTTTCCTCCTACTAATTTGCCACAAACAAACAGAAAATGCACTGAGGACGTTTTAAGTCCTTTCATCGCCCATGCCACGCCCATTTGAGCACCGCCGTGGTCCAAAACATCTAGGGTCACCCCGCCATGCTCTGCAATTTCTCCTGATACCAACAATTCCGAAATCAGTTCTGAAATGTAGGAGTTATTTGACATTTTAGGCTCGTGGGACCGGTCTCGATGCTTTAAACCGCCCCGCCACGCCCATTTAGGGATCTGATAGGTCCAAACCACCTACTAACTGACCGCCATGCTCTGCCCTTTCCGCTGATACCAAAAATTCCGAGATCCGTTCAGAAATGTAGGAGTTATAGGACATTTTATGCCCGGCGGCACCCTTTCTGCTGGTTTATGGGCGCCTGGTGCCTCAGTTAGAATTTGCCATGGGGAAAACGAAATTCGGATGCCATCCTGAATGCAGGGTGACTCGTTTCCTCCTACTAATTTGCCACAAACAAACAGAAAATGCACTGAGGACGTTTTAAGTCCTTTCATCGCCCATGCCACGCCCATTTGAGCACCGCCGTGGTCCAAAACATCTAGGGTCACCCCGCCATGCTCTGCAATTTCTCCTGATACCAACAATTCCGAAATCAGTTCTGAAATGTAGGAGTTATTTGACATTTTAGGCTCGTGGGACCGGTCTCGATGCTTTAAACCGCCCCGCCACGCCCATTTAGGGATCTGATAGGTCCAAACCACCTACTAACTGACCGCCATGCTCTGCCCTTTCCGCTGATACCAAAAATTCCGAGATCCGTTCAGAAATGTAGGAGTTATAGGACATTTTATGCCCGGCGGCACCCTTTCTGCTGGTTTATGGGCGCCTGGTGCCTCAGTTAGAATTTGCCATGGGGAAAACGAAATTCGGATGCCATCCTGAATGCAGGGTGACTCGTTTCCTCCTACTAATTTGCCACAAACAAACAGAAAATGCACTGAGGACGTTTTAAGTCCTTTCATCGCCCATGCCACGCCCATTTGAGCACCGCCGTGGTCCAAAACATCTAGGGTCACCCCGCCATGCTCTGCATTTTCTCCTGATACCAACAATTCCGAAATCAGTTCTGAAATGTAGGAGTTATTTGACATTTTAGGCTCGTGGAAGCGGTCTCGATGCTTTCAACCGCCCCTGCCACGCCCATTTAGGGATCTGATAGGTCCAAACCACCTACTAACACACCACCATGCTCTGCCCTTTCCGCTGATACCAAAAATTCCGAGATCCGTTCAGAAATGTAGGAGTTATAGGACATTTTATGCCCAGCGGCACCCTTTCTGCTGGTTTATGGGCGCCTGGTGCCTCAGGTAGAATTTGCCATGGGGAAAACGAAATTCGGATGCCATCCTGAATGCAGGGTGACTCTTGTGTTTAGTTTTTAGTCCTTATAATTTTTAGTAGCATTTTTTTCGGTGTATGCAGGGTGACTCCTGCGCTTAGTTTTTCAGCCTTGATAATTTTTAAGTTGTATACTTACTATGTATATTTTATCGGCATTTTTTTTTTTTAATTTCGAGTGAAAATTTTCAAGTAGTTTTCGATAAAAAATAAAGCTTAATTTTCTAATGACTTTATTTTTATTTTTACAGAAAAATTTGTTCTATTGCTACGTCATATTTACAATGAACAAACAACGCTCGCTCAAATTATGTGATACCTATAAAAATTATTTTAAGGTGAGGATCAAGAGAGCATTCGTATAAAAAATACAATACAAAAAAACAATTTTTAAGACGAAAACATATTTAATTCAAAATCAATCCCTTTCAGCGCATACAAAACGAATTGGATGACAAGTTGGGCATTAATAGCTTCCTGGTCCAGCCCATACAGCGAATGGCTCGATATCCGCTGCTGCTGCAACAATTTATCACGGTGAGTTTGAGGAGAGAACTGTAAGAAAAAAAAAAAAATAGTTTCGGTACATTAGATATAGGGTGTGAGTTCGGTATAAATAAAAAATAATTTTTTAAGATAACATATTTTAGTATAACAAATTGAACAAAAGATAGATTTGAATGGCTTCAAATTTAACTTTTTGACTCTTCATACGTCGACCATATTCTAGTCTCTTTTGCTCTCTCTGTTTCCGTTCAGACCCTCTTCAAGCACCGCGACTTCGAAATCAAGCCACTGCTTGAGTCCTGCTGTCGGCTGGAAAAGAAAATGCGCACACTGCTCACCACAACCAACGAATCGGAAGTAATTAACGACATAATCGAGTGCAATGAGGTTAGTATTTAGTTAGTCGATTTTCACTCGTATCTACAAATACATAGCTTTTAACGTCCTTCTGTTTTTGCCTCCCCTTATTCCACAATTTAGTTCAACGTCTTTCATCAGGGCAAATTCCGCAAGGTCAGCGACTTCTCGGTGACGGATCACACGCTCAGACGCAGCTATCGCGGCAAAGTCTTCATCTTCGACAAGTGCATCATCTACACGGAAATCAAGGGTAAACATCTGATCTTCCACGGTCGCTATCCCTGCGAACATATTGGCATATTGGCAAAGACGAAACATTTTACACTCTTCNAAAAAAAAAAAATAGTTTCGGTACATTAGATATAGGGTGTGAGTTCGGTATAAATAAAAAATAATTTTTTAAGATAACATATTTTAGTATAACAAATTGAACAAAAGATAGATTTGAATGGCTTCAAATTTAACTTTTTGACTCTTCATACGTCGACCATATTCTAGTCTCTTTTGCTCTCTCTGTTTCCGTTCAGACCCTCTTCAAGCACCGCGACTTCGAAATCAAGCCACTGCTTGAGTCCTGCTGTCGGCTGGAAAAGAAAATGCGCACACTGCTCACCACAACCAACGAATCGGAAGTAATTAACGACATAATCGAGTGCAATGAGGTTAGTATTTAGTTAGTCGATTTTCACTCGTATCTACAAATACATAGCTTTTAACGTCCTTCTGTTTTTGCCTCCCCTTATTCCACAATTTAGTTCAACGTCTTTCATCAGGGCAAATTCCGCAAGGTCAGCGACTTCTCGGTGACGGATCACACGCTCAGACGCAGCTATCGCGGCAAAGTCTTCATCTTCGACAAGTGCATCATCTACACGGAAATCAAGGGTAAACATCTGATCTTCCACGGTCGCTATCCCTGCGAACATATTGGCATATTGGCAAAGACGAAACATTTTACACTCTTCTATGAGCGTCGCAAGCAACAGGAATGCGATTTCCATGCTGAACCGCAGGTGATCGAGCTATGGTTGGAGTTGATACGCGACATGATCAGTTCATTTGTGATGGAGGAGCGTCAAAAGTTGCAAGATCGCTATGCGCGTGAGGGCGAGCAGCAGTATAGAAAGCCGGTAAGCTTGTCACTGTTCCGCGATTCGAATCGCTTCAGTTCGGACAGTGGCATCGGTAATATTTGGGTATTGCCGAAGCCAGAGGCTGAATCGGAGGTGGCGAATAATCGTACGACATGGTATGCAGTCAATTGAATTTAGAGCGGCAAAGCGACGTTTATGTACACACATACATATAACTATATAGACCGTGGAGAGCACGCACCCATTAAAAAAATAATGTATGGATTACTTAATATCAAAATCGGGCAATAAATGAGTCACAATCCATTCGGAGCAGTAAACGAGCAATCAAAGCATTTTTTGTAGTTTTTCCAAAAACTTTATTGATTCCTCGCTTTTTGATACGTTTTGGCGTAATAAACGAGCTAAGGAATATGCGAAGATTGACCTCGTTTCGGAGGTCAAGAGAAGCTCAAAAGAATACTCTCTTTAGCCTCTTTTAGGCGCTCAAAAGAAGTGCTCGCCCGTAAGGATATCGACGCTGAGTGGAAGATCGACCTATCTCGGCAGCCAGTTCGAAAACGCCCTATCTCAAAAAACATTTCAAGAACGCCCTATTTCAGAATTTTATTGAAAAACAACCTATGTATCTCAGAATTTGGTTGAAGAACGCCCTATCTCACTTCAAAATGTAAGACATTGCCAGCCGGAAACCGGGGCCATATTTATTTAAATCTGTGAAATATTACTAACAGCTAAAAATTTACCCTCCGATTTGTAAAAAAAAAAAATCTTTATGAAAAGTGCTTCATTATCACAAAAACTGTATTAAAATGTAGTAGCATTTTTAAATACTATTTAAACTTTTAATTTTTTAATTTACAGCTCAAAATATAATTTAGGCTAGTAAATTTAAAAGAAAATGCCAAAAAATATGTAGTCATACATGTATAAGCATTGTTTTGAAGCTTAGCAAGCGACTTAATGTTGATTAGAGAGAGTCACAATAAATACATATCGTTGCCCTAATATAGAATAGGGCCTTTCGGATCTGTTTGTTTCTTTACAAAGTAGTTATAAACCTTTATAGAAACTAATGTTCGCCAGTTACCATTTTCTTCATTAGATTGGTCTTTTATAAACACATATATACATTTTTTGACGCAGTTAATGACTTAAAATCCGATAAAATTTTTAGTGACTAATGTACCGACTTTTGTACAAAGCCATATTTCGAAAGCAAATGAGTTAGGTCCTTTCTATATTAAGGTATATATTTATATTTAAGTATATTATTTACATTTATGCATGACGGTATTGTTTTAATATACAGATGTAAATATTTAATTATGTTTATGGATATTCTATGCTAAAAAAGGTGAAAATAAATAGCAACTATGTACTAAATTTGAAAATTGTAAAATCGAGTGTTTATTTGCAAATATCAACAAAGTATAAAAGTGGGTTATAAATAAGTAATCACGCAAGAATAATTTTCCCGCAATTAGAAAACATCTGCGATTAAGATTCAGTAAAGTTTTATAACAACTAAAAACAAAAGGACAGGAGTAATTTGTAAATTATACAAGGCGTGCTCCACAATAAATTTATCTCGATCAGTTTTCAACTCTCAAGATAATTAAGGCCTTTCCAAAACGAGTAAAATCCACTTAAACTTGGTTTCGCATGCAGAAGTTCTGGATGAATATATCTTCGGTTCAACTGCCAGTGTTGCAACTGTAGCCACGTTATACAATTAATTAGGAATATTGAAAAATTTGGCCAGAAAATAAAAAAAAACAAGTTCATGAAATGGTATATGAGTACAATGGCGTTTTGCTAGGCAGTTATAACTTTATAGTGGAAAAGGACTTTGATTATTTAGGATCTAGCAGGAAAATGGACGATATCGCAGAAAAAGCTAACAATTCTAATTACAATCTATGGTCCCGTTCGCATGAGCAACGGGTATATAAGAACATGGAATGATAAAGTGTATGAATTTTATAATGACGTGAACAGAGTCAAATACAGTCCAGTATGTATAGAATGTAAGATCGTTTAAATGTTCACCGCGAATTCTCACGTTGGCATGGATCTGAGTCGTCTAATTTTCAATGACTTTCTGCCTAAATCTGAACGATCGGTTGATTACGGTTTATTGGCATAGATCTACGACTTCAGGAAACACAATATAAGGGTATAAATCGTTCATGCAGTATGTGTCCACAGCGTTAAGTAAATTTGGGCCAAGTCTGGGAATGGGCTGCCTCGGGCTTTCCTATACACTTTCACGGACCAAAGCGATGCCCTCAGCCGATATGGCGTTCCTTCGACCTATGGGTGTTGATTAGGAAGGGGTTCACTAACGAGCACTCCTTTTGATAATCAAATTTTGTCGTTTGGGCGAGCAGCTAGATAATAATTTGGCATCAGTGACTGAGTAATAAACCACAGATTACACAGACGACGTCAAAATAGCCTGGATGACTTAGACCGCCAACATCTACCCGCGCCAATTGATAAATACTTTAACTACATATGTTAGAATTAAAAAAAAAAACGTCAAAAATAAAATCATGGATGGTATTCTAAGGAAGCTGCGGCTTCGGGCTGCTCAAGCACCTTTTTCGAATACATATTAATGTAAGAGAACTTATAGATATCAAACGATTTTGTTATAAGCTTTCTTTGTAATTTTTATGCAAAAAACCAAACTGACTTTAATTCTCATATAAAAATTTAAGAGTACCGTTAATTTCTTCATATCTCTAAGTCAAGTTAGTATGAGACTACCTCTGAGGTACCAACTTTCCTTTAAACAAGTAATTTTTAGCAAAAAAAAAACCGACTTCAACTCTCATATAAAAAAAAATATATATATATATATATCTCATGATCCACTGATCGGATCTTAACCACATTAGTATGGGACCACCTCTGAGACACTACGTTTCCGATACAAAAAGAATTATCGAAATCGGTTGACGTGGTCCAAAGTTATGCGGTAACATACATAAAAAAAAAAAGATTCCGACGAACTGATAACCTCCTCCTTTTTTTGAAGTCGGTTAAAAAGAAATATAGAAATCGGTTAACGTGGTCCAAAGTTATGAGGTAATATATGTACATTAAAAAAATTATTTCCACGAATTGATAACATTCTCCTTTTTTTTGAAGTCGGTTAAAAAAAGTTGTCCATTTCTTCTTGTTATTACCTGTTACTGCTCCTACACTCAAACTTAAATGATTAAACCGATTCTGAATGCTTTAGGACAGTGGTTGCCAACCTTTTCCAATTGGCGACCCACCTTTCCTTAAGTTAATACGTCCACGGTCTATCGATCCATGGTGGAGTAAAAGCCCTGAATTTGCATCGCATTCCATCATCGCATTACTATCAAATATTGCAAATATATATACAATTGAAATTTCTTATCTTGAAAGCTATCAAAGTATATAATCAGTTGAAAATTGAGAAAGTCGCAGAAATAATACTAAGCAAACAATTTCATACAGTTTGAATATGATCACACCGTGCGACAAAAACCAAAATATTTCAAAACACACGAAACAATCAATATACTCACGAAGCTATTTTAAAGCTAAGATTTAGTGAAACTGCGGTTTTAGTTTATCTCTCTGACGTCAGGATTTTTTAAAAGGATTTTCAAAAATATGATTCATCCAAAAATTATTAAAAAAAAAAAAATTCAGCGCAATGTGGATTAATAATATGGTTAGCAAATGAAAGAGAAAATTCTGTAGAACTGAACAAAATTAAGTCTCTCGCTTCACAGGACAAATAGGTATTGAAAATGCCCTTTTAATTAATTTTATCTTTCTAAACCAATAAAGTTGGCATGGCGAAATTCGAGGATATGATCTTGTCTTAGTCCTTAACATGAATTTTCTTCAAAAATACTTACTGCAAAATTTTCAAGGATATTCAAGAATAGAATTTGAAAAGGATCATTTCAATATCTATTCGTTTAAACTTTTTTAATTCTATAGATAATTCTCTTTTATATGATACCCACATTGTTATTTTACATTGCATTGAGCTTTTGAATAATTTTTTGAAGTAATCATATCTTTAAAATTTCAAAGTCCTTTTAAGAAAAGTCCTGACGTCAGAGAAAAAACAAAAAACTTAGTGTCAATATTTTTGGCCCTTAGTTTCGCGAATATATAATTTTTTTTGTGTGTGTACAATTTAAGGTTACGCGGTGTTACAGTTTAGCAAGTTGTTATCACAATCTATCAATATGTAAAGTTGCGGTTTTTAAGTAAGAATAGGACATTAATGAGATAATAGGGACTGTTTCAATTGAACTAACACGTCAATGTCATTATGATCTTATCTGATGGTTTATTCAATTGTTTCTGATAGTTTTAGGATCGATTCGCGACCTACCCGCGATCCACCGTTCGGGAACCGATGCTTTAGGAGATTAACTTTCATACTAGCATCAATATTTGATTGCTCTTCTTCACAGTGGAATTCGTGAGTATCTCCTGAAAAACGTTCTATACAATTTCAGCATTCCATATTAAGTGAAGCGATTTTTCAGATTAGGTTCCAATTGGAATCATGTCAAATAAAAGATAATATAATCAATTTCATGAGTTCTGACCCATTTCCAAAATTAAGATTCGCCATAAGCAAAGGGGCAGTCAACATTCATGTATGTATGTATGCATATGTAAGTAAATAAACCAAATAAAATCGCTTGGCATTTTAATTATCTGAAGGTTACACGCTGTGCCATTAAAAATGTAAACAAATATGCAGACGACCCGCCCACCAGTGTTGCCAACTTTTGAGTTTCAAAAAGCACCAAACCTTGGAAAAAAGAGCATTTTACCGCACTAAAAGCACTAAATTATTTTTTTAATCAAAATATACTTTGATACACCTTCATGCTTACGAAGTAATACCGAAGTACTGCACACTACTGGCCAATTTTTCGTCGTAAATTTTATTAATTTTGATGAGCTTCTTTGGCCTAGTTGGTGAAATTAAATTTTGAAGGGGAAGAGTAATACTTAATGATACCCTAAGTAGAAATGAGCAAACAAATTTGTTGTTTTATAATAAACCGTGTTTTTACACTTAGAGGTAAGGATATCTCAAAATTCTGACGTGGTAGAGAAATTCTGNCAGCACCGAAAAATCTACAAAAACCGATGAACTCAGGTGGCAAAAAAAGTTAAAATTTTTCGAACTGTGTAATCAATCAATAATCAAGAAAATAAAACAATAAATATCTAACCTATCAGCGTGCTAACATTTTCAACGCGAATACAATTTAACAAGAACGCAAGACTGTGGGTTTGCAACTTCATCTTTTTAACACCCTTTTATTAGCTTCACCTGTATGTTTGTATGTATGTATGTTTGTAACCGACTCCTTTGGACTCGATTTTGACCCACTTTAAACGGACAGATTTAATTCAAACTTTGTACACTTATCAAGAATCAGCGACAATATAATAATTTCATAAATTTATCTCATTATCCTGATTAGGATCGCCAGGATTAAATAATTTCCTCACACAGCCTCTGTGTGAGAGCAAGTGAGACAACTACG